CTTAACAGTCCCGAACAATTCCAATCAGTTCCGGTCGACTTTTTGTTAGACCCGAGCAGTCTTGCGCAGGTCCCACAGAGACCATTTGCCAGTGAGTCATCAGTCTACGCTTGTGCGCTGCATCGCCACTTTTGCTGGTGCATTCTTTCTTTCTCTCTTGTGTAAGTTCATACGGTGGGCTAAAGAACGTCATCATCCACTCGCACCCATCAAGTGAATTTCAGAGACTTAAGATCCTACCATTCCTAGTACCTCTACACCAGAAAACCGTGTGGATTCTGTAAGTAGAGATACAGTGAATGAGGTAGAAGCAGAGCCTTCTCTTCTTTCACGGGTTTCCTTTTCCTCCAGCGTGCTCACTATTTTCATCCCAGCAGCATCAGCCGCAACTTGTCAGGCAACCCAAAATCGTACAGCAGGCACTGTCTCTGCTGTTGACTTCATTCAGTAATCACCAGTCGTCCGGGCAGCATCGTCGCATTCTTCCTCCAACGACTCAGAATTCTCCTGCAAAATGACCAGCCCAACGGACAACGGAACCCCAAGCTCGCTTTCGGTCGTGAGTGCCCTTCCTCACTGTCACTCCTTCAACGGAGAGCGAGTGAAACTCGACAAGCAGGCTCGACTTCGCCTGGTCATCGTCTCTGCTCTCTGCCTGATCTTCATGTTCGTCCAGGGAGTGGGCGGTGTACTGGCTCACAGTCTCAGTATCGCTTCGGAAGGCGCCCACCTGCTGGGCGACTTCACCATGTTCCTCATCTGCATTTTCTCTCTCTGGGTGGCAACTTATCCTGGCGGCAAGCGACTGAACTATGGCTGGCTGCGAGCCGAAGTCCTCGGTTCCCTCATCTCGGTTATCATCCTCTGGGGGGTCACTGGTATTCTGGCCTACAACTCGGTCATGCGAATCATTGAGGGCAATTCAGATGTGGACCCTAAGTTGATGCTCATCACTGCGGCCATTGGACTGACCATCAATATCATGTGAGTGTTCAGTGTTTGGGTTTGCAGTTTTGCCGACCAGTAATGGCTTCTCTTCTTTCACCCCTACCGTCAGCATGACACTGGCTCTTACACTTGGCGGTGTGCCTCACGGCCATAGCCACGGAGGTCATGGTGGTCATGGTGGTCACTCGCACATTGGCCAACACATCCAAATGAGCTCTTTTGAAAGTGATGAGCAGGCTCACTCGCACGAGGACGTCGAGGACAACCTTGCCCGAATTCACAAGAACTCAATTCACCGAGGTACCGGACACATCACCGTCAGAGTTGCCCTGGTCCACGTCCTGGCTGATCTGTTTGAGAGCGCCGGTGTCCTCATCGCCGCCTTAGTTATCTTCTACTACCCCGAATACCATGTCATCGACTCCATAACCAACCTCGTCTGCTCTGCCATTACTATCCTCACTACATTTCCCGTTCTCCGAGACGTTATCAATGTCCTCATGGAGGGCACTCCAAAGGACCTGGACATTGGCCGAGTGAAGAAAGCCATTCTCGAGATTGAGGGAGTTCGTCAGGTGCACAACCTGCGCGGCTGGTCTCTCACCCTGGACAAGGTGGTTCTCACTGCTCACATTGCCATTGAGAAGGGACACGAGCCCAACCTGATTCTCAACGAAACACTGCGAAAGGTCAAGTCCAAGTATGACTTTTATGAAGTTACCATTCAAGTTGAGCAGTTCAAAGATCAAATGCTCACCTGCAAGCTCTGCCGATAGGTGGTCTGACTGTAGGAAAACTGGGACGGCACTTACCCTCTACTGCTTACACTACTCAAAATTGCGCTCTCCCTATCATCACTTCCCTGTGTTAACACAAACACTGATACTTAATCCTTATCACACTCCCGTTTCTTTCTAAATTTTTCCAAAATTGTGAACTTTAAAATTAGATGCTTCTTTATTTCGATCAATAAACAATTGTTTAAATTGAATACGCTTGCGCTGAGTCGTTCAAAATTGTCTTGCATGTTCCAAAATAGCAAAATTTAAATAATTCGCGGCAGTCCTCTATTTCGACCTCACTCTGCCTTGAAGCACTCTTTGCACAGCACCCCTGCACTGCTGCCGTGTGTTTACGTCAGACACCGTCAGACAGCTGCTTTTGCCGAATCATTGCAGGCGATGTTGATAGCAAGTGCATCGGCAGCAACAGCCGCAGCAGTGCACCTACTGTGCAAACCTTCTGCCAAAAGAAAGCTACACCTGCAGACTCTCGTACCTTCTCGACCTTTCCTCGCCTCTCTAACCTATGACTTAAAGAAGTGCAGCCTGACGACAGGCCGGTGAAAGACCTCTTTCTCTCACTTACTTTTGCACTCTCATACTTCTGTTGTGCTGCAACCTTTTCCTTCACATCTGTTTGAGCAGCGGTCGGTTGCAACGTTTCATCAACGTCAACTTTGGCTGTCGTTTGTATAAAAGCAACCCTCGTTGTCGTCGTTACTTTTTCATTTCAACGCTCACGCACCCAAAGACCAGCAAGTTAATTGCTGACCAACTGTAAGCTCGTGTCTTATATTTTTATGCTACCTGTGCTCAAGTTTTAACTTTACACTAATTCTCTTCTATGTATTTTAGTTTGTGCTTTCAACTCTAGTCGCCTTTGCTCATAGCACGCACAAAGTGTGTACATCCTGCCCGCCTACCTTGAGTTTTTTTCACAACTACACAACAACTGTCTACAGCAAATTTGCTTTCACTTGAAATTGGTTACTGCGTCGCAGTTTGTGAAAGATTTTAAACTGCAAAAAAGTCACAATTCGGCACAACTGAAAACAAAATGGAGTTTCCTGATCTAGGTGAACACTGCTCCCTCAAGGAATGTCGTCAACTTGGTAAGAAAACTAATCAACTTTACACTTTATATAACAATTTTAACTTAGCATTTCTACGTTCTGTTCCTGACCAGATTTCCTGCCCATCAAGTGCTCCTCCTGCAAGCAGATTTTCTGCAGTAATCACTTTCGCTTTGAAGCCCACCACTGTCCGGTGGCGAGTGAAGAGGAGCAGAAGAGTTCCGCCACCTCGCAGGACCCAGTCTGTCCGCTGTGCAACCGACCGGTGCCCATCAAGGCGGGCGAATCGGCCGACTACAAAGTCAGCGAACACATCGACAAGAACTGCGCCTCCGAGGAGCGGGAGAAGGTGTTCAAGAACCGATGCTCAGTGGGCGGTTGCAAACGACGCGAGCTGATGCCCCTCACCTGTGAGTCCTGCCGCCTGAACCACTGTCTCAGTCACCGCCATCCCTCGGACCATCAGTGCAAGGGACCGCCGCCGCAGAATCGAGCCAACGCCTCCACCACCACCAAGGCGGCTCAGCAGGCGTTCGCCAAAGGCCTGAACAGCGGCAGTCAGCTGCTGAACAGCGTCACGCAGCGAGGTGCCACCGCCTATGGGAACATTCGCAGCTCCGTCGCCAGCACTTTCGCCAACAGTGGCGGTGGCTTTCAACAGCCTCGACTATTCAGCAGACCGGCGCCAAGTCCGNAGTTGCGTCAAGTCCTTCTGTTTCCGCTAATTTCAACTCACTGCAGGGCAACCTGAGCGAGGAGGAGGCGTTGAGCATTGCCATTCAACAGTCGCTCGATGTTTCCAACAATCGAACCGGAGGGGCTGCTGGAACAGGTCATGGCAGTTCAGCGCAGTCCAACCAGTCTGACCAGAAGTGTCAGGTTTCTTAGTTGTACAAATTGAAGAACAAATACGGAATGTTAGGATCTTTTTCTAAGTTTGTAGACTCAA